AACCCTAACCCTAACCCTAACCCTAACCCTAACCCTAACCCTAACCCTAACCCTAACCCTAAACAATGTCAACATCGTTGACTGGTATGAGTGACTTGCAGGACTGTCTAGACATCCGAGTGAACCTGTTACCACCGATGTCGAAGAAGCTACTCTTTCCCGAGGGCGCAGACTTCAGGTCAAGGAGATCGACCCAAATTTGGTTAGTTCCTGAGGCGATATCGACTCATCGGCTTGGATCAAGGTCGAATCTGCCAAGGTCAAGGTGCGGCTGAAATCTTTGACCAAACTCAGGTCGTCTTCGTCCGAGCTCATGCTGCAGGGTGTTGTGCCTCCAGAAAGGAGCTTGACGTTCCTGATCAACTCCTCCATGCGCAGCTTGATCACCCAGTGGTCCGTCTTGTCGCTCGTGTTCAAGGGCAGCCGCTGCAGACAGTACACGTTCCTCGGAACCATGTAACTCGGCACCCGATGGTCAAGGAGCCGCTTCAGCTCGGTCCCATCGGGAGACGACTGGACCGAGACGCTAATGATGGACGGCATCACATCCACAATAGTGCGTTCCAGATCGTCCAGGTCGATTCTCGACGTCGGCGTGAGTGCAAAAAACCATGCACCAGTCCAATCAATGCACCTGTACCCTCGGACTTCCAGCTCGCGATCCATTCTGCCCATCAAGAACACGGTGCCATCGGCCAACAGTTTCCCTCGGTCCCCCGTCTTGTACATCCGCTTGCCATTCTGAGGATGGATTGCTAATCATTGGCTCGTAAGATCGGGCCGATTGCGGTGACTGGACAGGAAAGATTCAGTCTGAATGTTCGGAGACACCTCAAATGTATGCGCACCCTCGGGCCAGTTGCGGGCCGGCCAGACAGACCTCTCCGATCTCGTTGACAGCCAGCAGTCGGTTGAACGAAGGGTTGCACACAAACACCTCCGTGGACGAATGCGGTTTCCCGATGTTCGCAGCGCACGGCGCAACCTTGCCCGGTGAACTGGGCTGAGGTTGATGAGCCATGACGACCGTTCTGTAGGACGCAGTCAGGATGCGATCGAGTAGCTGAGACAACGGGGACATGCGCTTCAGTTGGCCCATACGCATTCTGCAGGGTCACTCTCGTCCTCCACCGTTCAATCAGGTTATCCGGTACCATCTCTCCGCCCACACTGATGCACTCGAGACTCTGCAATCTTCTCGACGCCGGCAGAGTGCCCAGCATACTGGGGGTGAGGTGCATGTGAGTGACAAGATTCTTGTCGATGACATCTGCGAGGTGGTCGCCGATCAGAGCCAGTGGGGTATTGGCAAAGCAGAGGTTGGATTCAAGGGAAAGCGCCAGGGACCATTTGAGCACGGCTGCGTCGAAAGCGAACGTGGCGAACTGTAGCACGCGGGAAAAGGGACCCATTAGGAAATATCCTGATCTGTGGGCAGAGGTGATCCAGTTTGAGAGGTTGCTGCGGGTGATCTCGACGCCTTTGGGCTGCCCTGCGTGCGGGGGTTGGCTTCGTTTCGGAAAGCGGGTTACTGTGTACATACCTGTACTGCCGGAAGTGAAGGCGATGTATGCCAGGTCATCGTCTTGCGATACGTCGCTCAGATTGTCTGTCGGAAACGCGTCCCAGGTGCAAGTCTGCGTGCGCAGGATCTTGTCAGTCCCCGCGAAGAGGCCCACCTCGATCTCCATATCTCCATTGGCTGCTCGACCTCGACCTCCTTGCGGAGGAACTCCATCATCCCTCCCCGCTCTTCCTCATTGCTGTCAAACCCGTCCGTGCTGATGCGCGTCTCGAGGTGCATGCGCTTTGACTTGCTCATTGCGCCGAAGATGCGATGGCGGAAGAACGTCGCGTTGAGACTGTCAAAGCCCTGGTCAAAGATATTGCCCCCGGGGAGGATGTTCTTTTTCCGCAAGCAATGCAGCGTATGCTGAAAGCCACGGAACGAGATCGGAACCCCTAGGCCCCTTCCTGCACATCCAACTAACGTCCAAGACAACGCAACGGGCATTGTCGTGTCGGCCAGCGAAGATACACGAGTGCGGTGCGGGTTGAGTCTTGAGATGTGAGCAGGTTGGCACATGAGGTCAGAACTACGGCGCGTTGCGTCAGACGTCAGCGCAGCGTGAGGATTTGCGGAGCCGCAAAACCTACGATTTGTTGTGTGAGGTGACGTCCCAGTGCGGATGCGGCGCGGGGTGAGCCAACAGCGAGAGGAAGAGGTGCTGAGAAACACACCGTCGGACTTGACCCCCATCTACTCTGCCTGCACCCATACGCCTCCCCTCCCCCTGGTTGCCCTGAATCAAAGACTAAGTTTTGATTCTTTGCAAGCTGCATGGACCGAGTGAGGCTTTGCCCGAAGGAGTGAAGGAAGCGGCGGAGTGAGGCGGGGCTACGTCGTATGAACAGATTGAGCGTCACGTGGAATGACGTTGCAAGCTGCTTGGACTTAAGTAAGGCGGTGCTTGATCATATCACATAAACATCTGGATGAGGACCAGGCTAGCTATTACAATTCGCACGGCATTTGATAGGACTAGGACCTGGGCTATTGCCTCTCAGTGGAGTGTCTGCGCTCCGCCCACTGGGCCGTTCAACTACCCTGCCCCCTCCCTCGGATTGAACTCCCCAGTTTCGTTCTCAATTGGCAAAGTGGGTCGTTAGTAGTCGGGCGTGATCAATGCAATTGCGTTGTTTACAACTTGATGTGTACGATGCGAACTAAGCCAGATGCGTTGCATGATGTGAGGCTGCACATTTGATCCCAAGAACAGGACGAACGCACTTTCGAGTTGTTCTGGCAGCTGTGGCACAACATCGATTAGATTTGGGGGCAGGATAAACACACATGCTCGAGACGTTCCGGTGGGTATGCAGCGCGGAACGTCGTCCACACTCTCCATGTGCACCGCCCACTTGTCCATCCACCTCCCCTGCTCCCATGCCCCCCCTTTCGTTCGTCGGTCCGGTGGCCAAAAGTCAATCGATGGGCGTTGAGGGTGCGCGATCGGCGCAATGAGGACCGTAGCTGGCTTGACTCTCGGGATCAGTGCTCATGCTACGTGAGATGTAAAGATGGCATCGCTTTCACAAAGGACGCGGCGCACCTGATGACCCCGACAGTCCGACCATGGAAGTTCCCTTTGACGCTGAGCATGACGGCCTTGCCCTCGGGGGCGCCCTTCTTCAAGTATGCCCACTTGCGCGCGAGGTTGATGGCGGCCTCGACAGCCTCGGCACCAGTGTTCATCGGGAGCACCATGCCGTAGCCAAACATATCCATGATCACCTGTGCGAAGCGCCCGAGCACGCTGTTGTAGAACGCGCGTGATGAGAGAGTGAGTTTCTGGACCTGCTTGCACAGCGTCGCAACTATCCAAAGATGGTAGTGGCCCTGATTGACTGCCCTGCAAGATACGGTTATCAGGCGCCGAGATCGAGGGCAGGATGGGCAACGCACCAGCGGGGAATGAGACCAACAGAGCTCACAGTGTCCCAAACGCCGATGAATTTGATTCTATCCGGTCACCGAAAGTTGATCGTTGGGCATTGAGGGTGCGCAATCGGCGCCACGTAAAATGTGCTGGGTGTACGTGAGGCGGGCACACAATCTTCCAAAGCATCCGCGGCGCGATTTGTTGAGACGGCGGACAGCGGGAGGAAGAGCGGATAGTGAGAAACGCACCTCTGGAGCTGTCCTCCATGCACTAGAGCGCTCTGCCCATCCGCGCATCCTACTCCCATGCCCCGTCCCTCTGGAAGCCGTCCCCCCGGTTGTGTTCGGTGGTTGCCAAAAGTTGGTCGTTATGAGTTATTGAGGGCATGTGATCAAGCATGCAATGAATGCGGTTGAGGTAAATGTACAGCGGCGCAGTGAGCATGATGCCATAAATTGCGCAATGCGCTGCAGCACATGAGACGGCACGTTCGAGCCCAAGGCAAAACCAATGCTAACTCGATCCATCAGCTCTGCAAGATATTGAATGAGAAGAGTGGGAGATGGTGGAGAGAACGCACCTGGGTGTCTCCCGCCTCCGCATCCTCACTCCACTCGACCCCTCATCTATGCGGCTCTCAGGGTAACCAAACCTCCCAATCCATCGTCCCGGGGCCGATCGTTGGCAGCCACGAGTTGCTAGTGCATGCTTAGATGCGATAGGGCATTTGTACAGGCGGCGCGCATGGTCCTGTAAGATGTGAGAGGTAACCCTCGCATATCCATATAGACTTACCCCAAATGTTTGTCGGTTATGATGCGTGAACACACACCGAGTGCACGAAAAGAGGCCTGCCTCGTTGCAATCAAACTCGCGGCCTGATCGTCCTCCGGGAACTTGGCTGAGAGCTGGTACTGATGAAATAAGCAGCAGTGCCGTTTCATGGTCGTCCCGTTCAGAGATATGTCGGCCTTGCCCAGCTCGCAGTAAAAGGTCTCAGAGCTAGGCATGATAAGGAGCAGAGGTGTTGAGTACAGAGGAAGATTGATAGAAGGGAGCCCAGATGACCAGGGAGGAAAGGACGGCGCCCAGCGCGATAGAAGACGGGGAGAAAAGCCATGTATTTAAGCGCTATTACGTGGACATGTAAGCTATGACCGTCCTAGCGCTCATGCACGAACAAAGGCGTCGAACAAATGGGCCGGGGGGTGAAGTGTACATGCGTCTGCTGGAGGCATTGCGTTGGCTCAGTGTCTGAGAACTGGATGAGCCCGCACTGGGATGGTGAGCACTCAACTGTGGCCCCCCCTCTTCACATGAACCCTTCCTCCACTCGCCCAAAACCCTCTGCTGCCCTAGCCTGAGCCCTAGCTCCCCAGCCCATCCACCCCAAACTCGTTCCTTGGTGGCCGTGGTGGCTAGGTTGGATGGATGAGCAGAGCGATGAGTACCGCACGTTGTCGTCGCTGAGTCACAGCCGCGTCACGCATTTGATGGCCCGGGCTGCATTTCGCCTTCTTGAGGATCCATGCCCGACGGCAGGGGATCCGCCCGAACCGAGTCGCCCAATGCATTTGTAGTATTGGGGCATGTCGTATTTTCTAATTTTTGTGTGAAAATCTCTATCTCCAGCCTGTGGATCCTCGACTTGAGAGCGCGGCAGCTTTGATAACTTTGATGGCTGCCTGTCAACTTTCACCTTGCTCCCATTTCTTGCTCCCTATTACCCCACAATGGGTTCTGGCTTGTTTTGTCATGCGATATTCATATTAGGGACCCTTAAGAACATTTTGTCTGAATTGCCCAATCAAATCCAGGCACTCCCTGCCCCGGGATCCCCGATGCAGTACCCATCATAAAATTTGATGCGGCAGAGTAAAAATGGCTCCCTTCCACACCAACCCCTGACTCTAAAAATACGAAACTTGGGATTCGAGACCTTGGATGCAATGTGTCTAGTCCCAGCAAAGAAAAATGGAGATGTTGTGTAAGTAGGGTTTGGGATCCCCGGTTCATCAAAAACGGCCTGGTGAGATGATGCAAAAAAAGTGATCTGATTGTTGGGGGCTGCTACGCAGCCCCCGCCCCCCAACCCTGGGATCCAAGTGGAAAATGGATGAAGGGCCTCTAGGGCTTTCATAAAAGCCATGTTTCAAGAAATTTGGTTGAGATTTGAGCTTGGGATCCCCATTTGCAATGAGATCATTTGTTTCGGGGCCAATACCACTAGGTATGTTATCACATCAGTACGATCACTGATCCAGTCATCAGATCTCCTCTGTTGGCATCAGTGCTTGCCGATGTTTGCCAGTCTGTCTATCAGATCTGATGAACAGGTGATGCGGCAGTGTCGATTCGTTTTGTTTGCTTTGCTTTCGGTCCAGGCCCTAGTGGCCCTTTGGTCAGGCTTGGACTGATGCGGCATCAATTCATCGCACAGCTACTGATCCCTAGTAATCTTATCTTGATTAGATATGATAGGCAATCTTATTGTCTCGCGTCGTCGATCAAGGTCTATTGTCTCTATTGTCCTATTGTTCTTATTGTTCTAGGACTGCACTATTGTTGTGCGCATGTAATCTGAATGTGTAAGCAGGACCTGAAGAGCTTATAAGCGAAACAGGTGAGCCGGTGAGTCTTCACCAGCCTGTTGTCCTGCAGCAGCTTCCCTCTTCTTGTGTGTTTCAGCTACTAAACCACCCTAGATATTGTATGGGCGGAGTGGAAGACCGATCATAAAACAGTGCGCACCTGGTGACTTCCATCCGCATTCTCACTCCAATTGACCCCTCATCTAACCGGCTCCCATGATTTCCAAACCCCCCAGTCCACTGTCCCGGGGCTGCGAGTGGGCGGCCGTAAGTTGGAGGTCGAAGTGCGTGGTCGAAGTGCGTGGAGCAATGCGATGGGATGTAGGAGGAGAGCGATGATCTTGCAGGCGGATGGCATGGAGAAGGCGTGATGTGACGTGACAGAACGATTGCAAAGACTTGCAACAGTCGATGGTGTCGTTCTCGACAAATAAGCACACGATGGGTATGGTATTTCATAGGAACAAACTAGAGATTGAAATAAACATATCTGCTGATTCGGTTTTGGATTTAAGGCCCGGCGACCACATGATCGAGACGAGGATGGCTAGGAGCAGATGTGGTGTGACGTAACAGACCGATCGCAAAAACTTGCAACAGTCGATGGCGTCGTTCTCAACGAATAGAGACACGATGGGTATGGTATTTCGGCACAACGATATTAGCATGTGAATGAACATTCCTGCTGATTCGGATTTGGATTTGAAGCCCGGCGACCACATCATCGAGACGAAAACATTTCATTGATGTCAATGTGGCTGTGACAAGGAAAGATTCGTCTATATCTCGGGCTGTGGCCCTCAGAAAAATACGAAACTTTCAGGGGATGTCCCAGGGGCTATTTGGAGCCATCCTAGATGTTGCCGACCACTTTGTGGAAAGAATTGAGTTCGGCGACCACGCCATCAGAGAACATTTGATTTTTGGTCGGGCTGAAAACATACACTCTGATGGATGGTTTCTGGGGGACAGAATTGTGCACGAAAAGTGGTCGCCGAACCTGGGATGGATGGAGGGGACCTTTGGGCACATGTGTATGTATTTTTTGACATTTTTTATTACTAAAAATTGTTCACCGACCGCGTTTCCAATGGGCTGTCATATCAGCACAGGGATAGCTACTACTAATAGGCGCGAACCGCTGCTGTGCATTGGTCGATCCACTGCTGCAGAGCAGAGTAGCGTGGACCAGACCCAGTCCCCGCTCGCACCGGTTGAAGGGACAATAACATTCCTTTCGAGAGAGGAAACCACGTGGAGACAATCAGCGACTCGTATTCGGGCCAGAACGGGTGGACCTTGGTCAGAGACTTGCTCTTCGCCCAGGTAGTTTGCAATCCAGTTCAAGCCCACGCGAGCTTGGATCAGTTCTACGATGAACCCGGGGAAGGCTGCCAAGGCCTGTGGTCAAAGACATGCGCGCGCCTCTTAAAGATTGAGACACACTGCTGATCGTCTGTCTGATTGTGCCGAACAACGCGATAGCCTGTGTCCGTCAGCGAATGGGGCAGGAAGCACGGAAGGCATAGACCGTAAAAGCTTTGCTGACAGTCAGTTAGTTGCCAAGCAGGATTTAGGAGCAGAACGACACGACGGACAGAGAGATGGGCACGGAGATAAACAGAGTGGTGAACATGATGGAGTTCAGGCGTACTGCGACGCCAGCTCAGCAACATACTACGCTCAAAGTAAAGACATTGACCACGCACGTTTAGCATGCCACTGGAGCTCTGCCTCTCTCGCTGCCAACAACTTTGCCGTCCATTTAGACTCCCACGCGAAGAACTTCACGAATTCGATCGACACGACAAGCTCGCTGACCAGGCCCATGCGCTCGTCCGCCGCCTGCGACCGCGCGCGGCTGATCGCCGTGCCTCATTGCGAGAAGAACTTGTTCAGCCGCCAGCTGGCGAGGAACACCACTAAGCCGGCAAATGCACTCCAGCCGAGGATCTGGTACAGGAAGATCACCCCGACCACGATCTGGATAGGAGAGCCATAGAGGATGTACAGTCGCTGCGGGCTGTTGAGCGAGGCCTCCTGAGAAGAGACTGAGTGCGCACCGAAGTCATGGTGGACATCTGCTCCGCTTCTGTCCACATCATGTTCATAATCTTACCCGTATCTACCCAGTTCCCTGCGGTTAGCACCTCCCTCCCAAGCAGTCGCTCGAAATCAACACACCTGCAGCTCATTTGGCACCGTTCCCCAACTTGGTAACAGAGCTGCAACCTGCTGTCCCTCCACCGCAGCGTCTTGTCATAGATCGCCGCCATCAGCTCGGAGCGCACTCGGAGCGCACTCGGAGCAGCGCCCGACGTTGGTACCCTGCAGCAAGGTTCATAAATGGGAAGAGCAGCTAGGCGATTGACAGAGATACTGGACAGACAGCTCCGCATTCACCAGTCACACGCCAAAGATGGCCCCCGCGTAGGAATACGCGAACGGCCGGTCGACCCGAGCCAGGTGCGGTTGGTCTAGTAGGTCGAGCAGACGTCTGCGATTCATCAGGAATTCGTAGAAAGGCGCATGAAACGGACGGAGACTGACTTGAGGAAGTACGGGTTTGGAAGGTACAACGGAATGCAAACCGGCGTCCCAAGAAACTCTATTGTGAGATCGAGCGCGTTTGCAAGCAATTTTCATCAACAGGAGCATACTCGATCGTGAGATTGAGCGCGTTGGCGCGCGCGATTTCCATCAACAGGGACGTGGTACCGTCCAAATGGGAGTCAGGGCAAAGGCAACGCGCGTGAACAGAAAGAAACACGTGCTGGAACTTCCAGAACACCGCCCGCGATGCATTGGTCGCGCTGAGCACCCACGCGTCTTTGAATTCCAAAGTCGAGTACGAGCCTGATTCCCTGGTTCAGGTGATACACCGGTGTCCCGAGAGATCGATCCTCACACGTCCGATCTTGGGGTACACCCAGCTGAACACGGTCGAGCTCCACAGCGACGTGTAGTCCTCCGGCGAGACCGAGACCCCGATATCGACGGGATGCCCACGGGCATGCGCAGGACCACGACGAGAAGCAGCGCCGCGACGAGCGTCGACGCTGATAAAGCCCACACGAGAGGAACGGACCGGTGGACAGCGAGCATCGGGTGATTCATCGAGATCTGGTGTGGGGGCACGTCGACGACCCGGCTCTGGATCTGCCTCTGGAGGAACAGCGTGCCCAGGGCATCCAGTCCGCCGCAGACATGCACCACGTACAGCGCAAACTAGTCGCACGGCGCCGTGACGGGTGGAGGGCGCAGTGTTAGGCGCGCGACAGCATACACCCACGACGCCGCGACGAGGAGGCGACTTAGTTTCATCGTCTTCGCCCCTGCTTTCCCCCTCGTCTGTGTCCCTGCGCTCCTCGCACGAAAGGATGGCCTCGGCCTCTTAGAGCGTCAGGAACGGCCGGAAGATCTCGGTGCGCGCGGTGATGGAGCGAGGGAGGAGGAGGCGCGAGACGCGCTAGCGCGACGACGAGCGTCGACGACCCCGCCCAAACCCAAACCTAGGCCCACGGTAGCGCGGACATCGGTGGCCTGTGGGTAGTACTGTAGGCAGGACTGACGGAGAGTGCCAGCAAGGCAAGGACGGATGGAGGATGTCTTTTTTTCGTGGAGCCAACTATCGCAGGGATGATATACGCGTTACTTCGTCGTGCGATCCGGAGTTTGAACGCTGGAGCATCGACGGTGAGGGGAGGCCGAAGGATGGATCTACCGAGGAAGAGATCCTTGACCGTCATGAATTATGTAAGCTCTGGCAGACACTTCGGGTGCCTTTCAGCACCTGGAGCGGATCTCGGGAACACCGATGTCGCAGTCCTGAATGTAGGTCACAACTGGTGACACGGCATCTAATCTTATCTTATCATTGCGGCAATGTATACACCCTGCAATCTGTAGAGACTCAAGATATCACAACTTCGTTCCAAATCGTACAAAATACTGGATACGGGCGCACCGCTGACTAGTCAGTGGGATCGGCGGGGTCCTGCGCGCAGTAGACGCTGCCGGAGCACGTAGTGCCTGCCTTGGGCGTTAACCCTAGTCGCCGCGTTCATCGGCCCAGAGCCACGTCGTGCTCTTCCTGTTCCCGACGTGCGCCTCCGCGCCGGTAAAGTTGTTCTCGTCGATCGAGATGATGGCGCTGAACTGCTGCGTCGCGCCTGCGGTCACGAACGTGCCGCCGTCGATGTAGTCCACCGCGCTGCTGGGATTCACCACGTTCGTCAGCGACGGCGTGGACTTCTTCCCGCTCAGGACGATATTTTTGGCGTCCGAGCGGCTGGTGGATGGGTTGTCAGCGGCAGGGAGGAGAGGAGGGGAGGTGCGCGGCGTACTAGGGTCCTGCAGAGGATAAACGAGGAAACTGAGTCAAAACGCACTCACATTGACCCTAGACGCCGCCCTAACCATCCAAGCTACACAGCTCCAGTCAGATTCACCATCAAGATAGCCTGGGTAAGCTGGGTGCGTTTACTCACACACGCTCACCGGATCAACTGGGACGACGTCTGGATAGTACAAAGAGCGGTCAGCAATCGAAAACCTTCTCAGTGCTCCGACGTACCATTATAAGCACGGACGGCCTCATACTCGGTTCCAAACCCCCCAGCTGCACACCAATCCATACGTTCCCACTCGCTGTAGCGATAGTGTCGCGTTTCTGCACATAGGTCTGCGTTAGCCCAAACTCCGCGAGTCAGATTCCGACAACGTCTTTGGGTATGCTGCCTCGAGATAAACCGGGCAAGGCCTACGATGCAGCCATTACGGATCCTCGCCCACTGCGCACATCGAGTGGAATGTCTCCGTTGGGATCCGGACGGCCACGCCTGGCCCTCGAAGCCCCCGCAGTCGGAACGTGTCAGTGTGGTGCAGTGCGGTGAATAACATCCACAGGTCGGTATCCCTTTCAGGGCCTTGGTCGGATCTAGGCTTCCTCGGAAATTCTTTTCATCGTTCTCGACTGGCTCACGATGGCGGATGAGCGGTCCCGCACCTCCTCTCGCCTCCAGAGAGGAGGACTCGCTTCTGGCGCGACTGTCGGTAGTAGACCGGATATTTCTGCTGAGGAGCATTGCTGCGCGGTATGACCTGGAGGTGAGAGTATCTTGTCACGGCGCATAGCTTTGGGCCTCGTTTCCAGTTTTCCCATTTGCGATGAAGTAACCACGAAGCGTCACCAGGAAGCCATGTCAATTGTTTTGACGCGAAATGGAGTGCTCCTTTCCCGACCTTCCATGACGGATCACAATATCACCACCAGAGCTCGAAGCAAGGGAGGCAAGCTGTTACCCGTGACGTGTCCTTCGAATCATCCCCTGGGAAGCACAATCCCCAGACGAAAAGTACATGCGTGATGATCAGAGTAGCGCCAAGGCTGAAGGAGAAAGTAAAGGGATCAGAGAGGTTACTGACTACAACGGGATGTCCTCCGTCTCGCCCAGATCATCATCGACGTCACCCTCACTCCTCACACCAGCAGATATTGTCTCTTTCTCCACGACCGGCGGCGGCGGAACCTCAATACTCTCTGGCTCAACGGCCGCATCCGCGGCATCGGAATCCCCAGGGCCAGGACTTGTCGGAGACGTAGGCGGAAATTTAAACTGCATGTTCATCGTCCCGGTCTTGCTTCCCCGCTTCTCCATCAAGGCGAGCCGTTTTGTCTCCAGCTCAGCCAAATCAGATTCTTCATCCTCCGAATGTGCTTCTTCAACAGTGACGACCAGCACGGTTGGTGGTGGGATATTGCTAACCGACTGCCCTACAAAGGTTGCAGGCTGGCCAATGGGCGAGACGGTCGGTGGCATTGACTGTCGCACAGCAGCTGCGCTGGCGGGTGAGCGTTGGGTGGGAGATGCAGCAGACATGGACTGTGGGCGCCGAGAGGGTAGCGCGTTAGGCGGTGTTGCTCCCAGTCCGAACAGCGCGATAGGAACTAATCTACAGCCAGTGAGCTTCGCGAACAAGAAAAAGCGCAAACACACGTACCGACGCTCAGACTGGCACGCGAAGATCCAATGCGGCTGGACGATGGGTATACTCAGCTGCACAGCGCGCTGATACTCGACCTCAGGCACGCCGGTCGGCGTATGCGTATTGGGTGTGGTGCACACGAAGTGCGTCGTGTCAATCTCAATCTTCTCGCTCCACCGTGCGCCGATGCGCTCCAGGGCTTCTTTCGCCTGCTCGACGAGCCCTGCGTCATCGACGGTCCCGAAACATACACGCACACCGGAGGTGTCGGTCATGGTGTGCGTGTGCACGCGAAGCAACTCCGAGGGGAACGTCCCCGCGGTCGTGCGCAGGACGAGCTGGAACGTGTACTCGGTGTCGAGCTCGAGTCCCGAGATCTTGCTGGAGGTGTTGGTTGCCGGGTTCGGGATCGGTGCGAGGCGCTGCCCGTTGCGGTAGAGGTCCAACGATCGCAATTTGGCCGTGGCCAGCTCGATGGGGGGCCACTCAAGGGTCACGGACGTCTGTGTCACATTGCGCAGCTGGGGGAAAGGAGATTCTGAGCATGCGTTCATTTCTGCAAGAACAGACTGCGCACCTGGAGTTTCGGTGGCTCAGGCGTACGCACTCCAAACTCGTCAAGTATCTCATCCTGCAGCGCCCAAAACGCGTCGTCTCTCCTCTTCTCTTCGGCGTGGTTCTGTAGGACGGAGATGTTGACGATGGATCCAGTGGTCGCACCGGGAGGAAGGAGGACGGAGGGGAATTTGATTAGGTGGGCGCGTTCGCCGAGAAGGATCTGATGAGCGGCAGTGTAAACGGTCAAGCGACGTGGATCATTACTCGTGATGCCATTCCTGCATCTATGTACTAGTGTTCAGCCCATTTCTGGGCGATTCACACAGGCTACGTACCTAAGTACCCCACAGTAAACGTAAAATGGTCTTTCTCCATCATGGTCGGCGCATAGGAAGATGTATCCAGCCCTAACCTTTTGTGATGCTGTAACTAATGTGATTTGGCCTGGGCACCGCATGGTGAGAGGGAGAGGAGGGGAGAACTCACCTGCGGACATCATCCCTCCATCCGCATCCTTAGAACACCCTTTCCAATTCAATGCTCTCCGCCACCACGAGACATGCCTCGAGGTGTCCTGAGGGAGTTTCCCGATCGTTTGAAGCTTGCGGAGAGGTGCTTGCCGATGCGCGGTCTGGACGATGCTGCAAAACCATCCTGTATAGTGCGAAAAGTCACCGCGCGTCCGATTCCGAGGCCCACGACAACTGGATGAGTGAGAGATGTCGGAACGATGGACAGTGAGCGGTAGGAAGCGAAAGAACTTACCTGCAAACTCCTCTCCCATCCGAGTTCTCAGAGTGCACCACCCCTTCTCGATCCGTGTCCTCCGCCTTCCGAGCTCCCCAATTCATCCTCCCATCGCGTTCGTTGAGCGCCGCGTGTTGCTGTTCGAGATGTGCAATGTGTATCTGATGAAGAGCAGACCGCCGCGCCGTTCGTGATGCCATGGAGCCCGCGATGTGTTGCGTGATGTGAGGCAGAGCGTCCGATTTTGGGGCGCACGAGACCCATCTTAGTTAGTGTCAAAGGAGGGCGGTGGGCGGACTGCCCCGTGCTGCGCAGTCGTTGAGCAAGCTGGTGGTGCCATGTGGGCTCCCAAGATTGGCCCTAAGACTTTGCGTCTCTTTCCCGCACTTCCTGGTGACGTCTGTGCAGTGTGCGTTGTCGTGTCGGCCGACAGGGGCCGACAAGGATGTGCAGGTGCGGTGCACGTTGCGTCGGGAGATGTGAGCGGGTTGGCGCAAGGGGTCGAAAGGACCGGATATCTTGCGTCCGATGTCGCAGCGTGCAGGGCAAGCTTGCGATGGCACAAAAACCGCGATGTCAAGGGTGCTCTGACAAAGGGGGCCAATTTGGGGCACACATTGAACGCGCGCGTTAGAGACATTCCGATGTGGATGCGGCACGGGACGCAGTGTGAGTGGACAGCGAGTTCGAAGTGCTGAGAAGCAACGCACCTGCGAATCTAGCCCCCTTCCACTCCCCCGGCGCTCTGCCATGCCCCTGAGTGCCCGTGAGGCGGGCCCGCGTCTGATTCTGAGATGCCCAATCAACGCGATGTTTCGAGATGGTGGACAGCGGAAGGTGAGGCGGACGGAGAAAAAGGACCTCTGGACCTCTCCCCCATGCACTCTGCCCACGTTCCTCCCACTGGCCCACTCGACTACCTTACTCCCTCCCTCGGATCGATCTCCCCGGTATCATTTGTTGGTTAGGTGAGGTGCATGCGTGCTGCTGGAGGCGTTGCGTTGGCTCGGTGTCTGGGAATGGTCCACTGGGTGAGCTGGCCTGAAACCCAAACGGAGTTTGATGATATGCTGTGCAGCTTATTGCTGCACCGCAAAATCAGCACATGACCATCACTCGAAGCTGGCCAATGCAACAACCAACGGCGCTGACTAGAACCGGACCAGGGTTCGGTTTGTAGATTGAGTTTTTAATTATGTTATCGAACGCATGTCGTATTTTCTAATTTTTGTGTGAGGATCCCTGTCTCCAGCCTGTGGATCCTTGACTTGAGAGCCGGCAGGTTTGATCATTTTGATGGCTGCCTGTCAGCTTTTACCATGCTCCCATTTCTTGCTCCCTATTCCCCCACAATGGGTTCTGGCTTGTTTTGTCAAGCTATATTCATATTAGGGACCCTTCCAAACATTTTGTCTCATGTGACCAAAAAAATCCAGGCACTCCCTGCCCCAGGATCCCCAATGCAGTACCCATCACAAAATTTGATGCGGCAGAGTGAAGATGGCTCCCTTCCACACCAACCCCTGGCACTAAAAATACGAAACTTGGGATTCGAGACCTTGGATACATTGTGCCTAGTCCCAGCAAAAAAAAAAGAAGATGTTGTGTAAGTAGGCTTTGGGATCCCCGGTTGATCAAAAACAGCCTGGTGAGATGATACAAAAAAAGTGATCTGATTGTTGGGGGCTGCTACGCAGCCCCCGCCCCCCAACCCTGGGATCCAAGTGAAAAATGAATGAAGGGCCCCTAGGGCTTTCATTCAAGCCAGGTTTCGAGGAATTTGGTTGAGAATTGAGCTTGGGATCCCCAATTGCAATGAGATCATTTATTTCAGGGCCAATACCACTAGATGAAGACATTCACAGACTTATAGTTTGTGCAATGGATTCACTCTAATACATCCTAGATGGGATTAAACATCCAGATGAAGACATTCACAAACTTATAGTTTGTGCAATGGATTCGCTCTCTCTTTTTTTTTGTGTCGACTTACGCCGCGCCCCATATCTCTGTGGATACACTTCCGATTGCCAAGATTTTTATATATTCAGAATCAGCTCAAAAAATGCTCCCAGGATACACTGGACTTGGATCATTTGGCAGTGTATCCACAGTGCAGCAGACCAAACAAGCAAAAATGAGCCAAAAATTGGTGCTTGGACATGGCCATATCTTGGCAACCGGTGATCGGATCGCTTAGGTGTGGCTGTACAAAATGAGCCTAGACCCCTGAAACCTGTTCAAAATTTTCTTGGCGGGCCGAGATACACTGCGGTTGCGAAAGTGGGGGATTCACCGCGGTGTAACCCTAGTATTAGGATATTAAAATCGGGATTCTACATGCTTAATATGTATCTAACGACCCTAGTGAAAAACCGGAATGTCGTGTACACAGCCCTCTGCGTCCCCATCCCATCAAACGCACTGATGGGAATTGATCGTTTTGAGACCCGCGGAATGGGATCTGGGACACGCACCATTGACCGGAAGTGGGACGCCGGCGTGCGCTTTCATTGTTCAGACCCTTAGCTAAGATTCCATGTCGAGTTTGCGGACAGTGGAAGGTCGTGTGGAGAAAAAAAACTCACCTGCAGACCTGCTCGTCCGCATTGTCCCAGTGTCCCAGTGCTACACCTCCTCCATCGAAATCCAAACCCCTCCCCGCTCCCACTGGACGAGTGCATGCTCGAGGCATCCTGATTGATATGTGGCGCAGCATGTAGAGTAAGCGAATGGTGCGAGGGAAGCTTTCAGAAACGCACGGGTAGACCTAGTCCCATCTGCCCTCCCGGTGCTCTGCCCACTCGCCCATCCGACTCCCCAGCCCCCATGCACCCGATTTCTTTCGTCGGTCCGGTTGCCGAAAGTCGATCGCTGTGAGTTGAGGGTGCGCGATCCGCGCGATAGAGAGGAGAGCCAGAAAGTGCATTGAGTGTCGTGACGCAGGCCCGCATGTGATTCCAAGATGCACGATGGAGTGATCTTCTGTTGCGTACGCGACGCGATTGTGTTGAAATAGTGAGCGGCGGGAAGAAGAGCGGCCGGTGAGAAACGTACCTGTGAACCAGTCCCCCATGCACTATCGCGCTCCGGCCACTCGCCCATATGCCTGCCCTGCCTCTGGTTGCCCGAGGACGATGGCCCACTTTTGTTCTCCGGTCGCTATGAGTCAGTTCTTGCGAGTCCCTAGTTGGGCTGTGCGTTCGGGTAATGGAGAGGGGAGTGTACAGCGGCGCGGCGTGGGTGATGTCTCAGATAGCACGATGCGCTGCAGGATATGAGACCGTGCGTTCGAGCCCGAGAAAAAGCAGACGCGGACTGGATCCGGCGCTCTGTGGCACGGAACGTTGGATGGGCGGAGGGGGAGACCGATCGTAAAAGAGGACGCACCTGGGTGTCACCCATCCGCATTCTCACTCTAGTTGACCTCTCATCTAACCGGCTCCCATGATTTCCAAACCCCCCAGTCCACTGTCCCGGGGCCGCGAGTTGGCGACCGTGAGTTGGTGGTCGAAGTGCGTGGTCGAAATGCGTGGAGCGATGCGATAGAAGGTATGAGGAGAGTGATGATCGTGCAGGTGGTATAGAGAAGCCGTGATGTGACGTGACAGAACGATCGCAAAGACTTGCAACAGTCGATGGCGTCGTTCTCAACGAATAAAGACACGATGGGTATGGTATTTCGGCACAACAATATTAGCATGTGAATGAACATTCCTGCTGATTCGGATTTGGATTTGAAGCCCGGCGACCACATCATCGAGACGAAAACATTTCATTGATGTCAATGTGGCTGTGACAGGGAAAGATTTGTCTATATCTCGGGCTGTGGCCCTCAGAAAAATACGAAACTTTCAGGGGATGTCCCAGGGGCTATTTGGAGCCATCCTAGACGTCGGCGACCACTTTGTGGAAAGAATTGAGTTCGGCGACCACGCCATCAGAGAACATTTGATTTTTGGTCGGGCTGAAAACATACACTCTGATGGATGGTTTCTGGGGGACGGAATTGTGCACGAAAAGTGGTCGCCGAACCTGGGATGGGTGGAGGGGACCTTCGGGCACATGTGTATGTATTTTTGGACATTTTTTATTACTAAAAATTGTTCACCGACCGCGTTTCCAATGGGCTTGCAAATCAGGACAGGGATAGCTACTAGAGACGTCAAAGTCTTACCGAGGCCCATGTCGTCTGCGAGTAAAACGCATTTCGGGATTTGTGAAAGCTCGTTCTTGGGGGATTGGGTGCGGGTGAGAATAGCCAGCACTCCCTGAAGTTGGTGCCACTGAGGATTCATGGGGACGGTCCCGACGGAGGTGACGCGGGTGGTTCTGAGGCCACGGAAGTGATCTCGGACGCCGTAAGCTTCGAGGAGACACATTGTTTCTTGTCGGTTGCAGTCTCTTGTGTCATCGACACCCATGTCGTCAGCGCCTTCGTCCCAGGATGATATTCCGAACGAAGTTTCATCGTCGAGGACGGGCTCGATGTTCGCGTCTGGGAGTGGGACGGTGGGGTCGTCGAGTGTGGTGAGCATGGCCAAGATGTCGTTTTTGACGACGTCCATGTCAATATCGGCGTCGGTGTCGTCGTCGTTCTCCGGCTGGTTCAACTCCACATAGTCAGAATCTGCGCATAGGTTAGCCGCGTTGATTGTTATGGCGATCAGTCCATAATTACAAGGTTGAACGTGGAGTCCGCCCTCGGTTGCAATGTCATTGACGATGCGAGAGGCGATGGGTGAAAGACGAACGGCGACTTCGGCACAAAGGCGAATGAGGGCTGTGTACATTTCAGTGTCGGCGTCGCCGATGGATGCATTTTTCCATATTGTGGGCAGTTGTGAGAGATGAATCGGCAGGTCGGTCGACGAGCGCACGGCGTTTTTAAGCATGGCGAGACACGTCCATGCTTGCGTAGTTGACTTGCCATGTTTGAGTAGTCTCTGAATAGACTTGATTTGTGGGGGGAGGGTTCGGCGGACACGGGCGAGACGTTTCTTGTAGGCGTCCAGATGTCGGTTGAGCCACCAGCCCCAGAACTGTTCGAGGCAGGCCGGGGGGAATTTGGACTTGAAGTGAAAGACGGCAGAGTACACTTGCACTTTAACCGGTGCGAAGTCGGCGACCCGCGGTGCCTGGCCGAACTGTTGGGCTAAGCCGTTAGCCGTGTGGCCCATTGACTTCAAGGCGTCCAACATCTGAGGAAGGTCAGAGAATATCAACAGAGTGAGAGTGGACGAACGCTTTGGGCAAGCGGTGCAAGCGCTTTCGGGAAACGATTCTCGAGTTGCTGGAAACCGGGGCATGACGAAAGAATGGTCGAGTAAAATGTCGCAGGAGCCCCAGGATATAAATCGCGCAAGTTGGACTGCATTTCGGGCCATAGCAGTCTCCAGTCGTCGTGATCGGGAGGACATTCTGGTTGCCAAACTGGTGGGAACCCGGCAGGAAGGAGATGGGTCAGATCGGTGTTAATATCGACGCCTCGGGTAGTTTTGATTAGATGAAGTCCGTAAGATAGATGTATCAGATGGGCAAGCGGCGTTTCCATTTGGGGAAGGTGGTGGTCGGGGGAAGAGCTGGGTTTGTGACAGTGTTCGTGATGAGTAACATTTGATTCGATTGTTTGATCCGATCACGTCAGTTCGCCGGTTTCCGACGGCACGGGATGAATGCCTCGTTGCCGTCAACAAGGTGGAATGAGCTTCGTCGCCTCCGATTTGGGGGAATGAGCGGTTCGGTCCAGTGCGCCACGTGAAATTGGTTAGGGTTCGTCCTGGAAATGGATATGAAATGGTCCGCGTACCGGCGTCACATTCACTTTTTCTGCTCTGAGTGATATCGTCGTGACGGCCAAAACTCCTGGTGCCTGATAAGTTTCGCACTCACTTTTTCTGCTCTGAGTGATATCGTCGTGGCGACCAAGACTCTTGGTGTCTGACAAGTTTCATGTGTACTCTTTCGACTCCGAGTGATATCGTCGTGACGGCCAAGATCCCAAGTTTCGAGTCGTTTGAAAGTTCCCATGATCATTTCAGC